TCCTTCTTCCCCCTCCTCTCTCTCTCTCTCTCTCTCTCTCTCTCTCTCTCTCTCTCTCTCTCTCTCTCTCTCTCTTTCTCTCTCCCTCTCTCCCTCCCCCCTCACTCATCCACACAACCCTTCCCCCACCATCCCTAAATCAACCACACCCCCACCTTCCGCCCATCCCCAAGAGGGTTCACCCAACTCCAAAACGTTCTATCTGCTGTACCATTCAGTTGTAGATAGCTCGTTTTGCCATCAGGACTAGTGAGGGAGGATCTCCCGTTGATCCATATGCCACAGACAGACTGGCTCAGTTACGCTCATCGCGTCTCCGGTTACGACATTATGGTCGCTCCCTGCTAAACATGTGCACAACGCTTCCTTTATTAGCTCCTTAGGACCGAAGTGGGCACATAAATATTGCCAAGTCCAGTTGCCTTTCTCGGCACATTTCGAACCGTTATACGAATACACAGACACACACGCACACACACACATACACACACACACACACACACACATACACACATATACACACACACACGCATGCACACCCTAGCACACACACATACACACACTTTCGTATTTTCTGTTTATAATAGTATTGTGTTAATCTTTGTAGTCCTGCGAATAACTTTAACGATAAATTGATATCGATGCTAGAACTTGGCTTGATTATTCGATCCTTGAACCCCTCTCATCATGTGCAAAAAGGGTTCTTTGGTCATGTGACATAAACAAAGCGGTGATGGGGGGAGAAACTACACAGGAATATTTTTGCACAATATATCGGCAAGCAAAAAGATTTCCATAGAAACTGAGGATGTTTCTATCAAAGTAAAGAAATGCAACAGGATTCTGTATCTTATAGTCCAAAAGGAAAAGAGACATAATGAAAACTATTTGTAGTAATTTGTAAAGGGGGTGATTTCACCCCGACCCGTTTCCGACAAAGGCAGGTCAAAGTTCACAGAGTAAAAGATCTAGCGGTTTAAGGTTCAATTCACGATTTTCTTCGGTCTTTAGACCTGGCGGACAGTGGAATTAAAGCATTGTTAAAAGTATTTAAGAATTAGATCTAGAATCTAGATCTTGAACTAAATCACCCACTTTGTTTTTTTATTGTCGCAGAATGGCTTCTTCCGAATTTCCCGATGAAAAATGCATGGACTCGTACAACTATTCGTTCGACAAAAACATTATCGGGTAAACAGTTGTTCAGATTGTGACTTGTTATTTTTTTTCACTTTTACAATTTACTATTTTTACTATAAAAACCAAGTCAAGACTAAACTAAACACTAACATAGAGTCTAGTCAAACTGTTCGTGCTTGTTTGTCTGTTTTTTTTGCATCAACAGATAGTATTGATAGTTTTGAATTTTGGAAGGTCTGAAAGATCAAAATAAAATTATAACTTGTTACGGTTGTTGAACCTTTGGCTGGTGTATTATTAGATCTATAGGCCTACAAGCCTACGGATAAATGCCAGGCTGGTCCCATCTTTGTGACGTAACCCACTGCAAGGCATATCGCTGACCTTCCAAAAATTCGTTCTTGCGAAAGACTAAAATACAGTGGGAGCCGCTTTCAACAAGGTCACATTCAACGAGAACTCCAACGAGGCAATCCTTGATCCCCGATTTTTCCTCTAGATATCTCTTTGTAAATGTACGTCACCTCCAATGAGATTGCAAACAGACTGAAATTGCTTTCAAAGAGGTCGTGATAACCAAAAGGCAATTAGCAGCCCCGAAAGCGAAGGATGTCTTTCTCTCCATCTCACGCGAAGCACTCTCTAAGGCCCATCCTCCATTCCTTTTATGCATTGTATTGCCAAATCTAGTGTGCCTCCTAATATTCCAATATGGGCCCCAAAGCCAAGAGGATGGGCGAGGGTTGGCGTACGGTAGGGATGTGAGGGGGTGGGTGGGAACGCGACGTGGGCAGTGTGAAACCAGAGACATATCTGAGCAAAATAAACTTGTGAAACTGAGCCGGTTAATTAGGCCTAGCCTACTGTGTGGTTTGCCGGGTGGGGGGGGGGGGGGGGGAGATGAAGAAAGTATCTTTCTCTGATTTCAGTTTCTCTTTCCATGCCTCATCCTTTTGTGGGATAGTAGAGCAGTACCGTAGAACATGGCTATAGCGAGACCTTTAATTTCAGCAGAAAAATCCTGCTATAGGCAGGTTCCCGCTATTGGAATACAAAGGGGATTACCAAAACATCACACATTACATGCTCTCCTTTTCTTTTACTGTCTTTTTGCCTCTCCCTTTTTTTTTGTTTTCCCCCCCTTTTTTTTGCCTTAGTCACGTTCAAGGAGAGGTCAGATCCAAGGACGACAACAAGCCGGTCCCGGCAACCTCGTTGAATGAATGCGACTCCCACTGTAATTACTCTTGACATATCCTGGCAATCTTTTATTAATTATGACCGGGATATAGCCTACAGTGGGTGTGGCCTTTGGTAGGGCATAATCATGGGACAGACCTTTTATTGAGTGTTTTAGTTTTACTGTACTATTGACATAGTTAACTTTTATTTCAATTTTTACCAGTTCCACCTATGTGAAAATGGGTGCTCGGCTAAGGACAGCAGAAGATTCTATTAGTTCGTAAATTAGTGTTTGACTGCCTGCATTCCATAGCTTGCACCGTATGCTTCCCGGGAAATCCTGTAGTTCTAGGGTGGTCTGCTGAGGTAATATGGTTGAAAAGCACATGGAGCGTACTTTAGAGCACATGTATAAAATGTTGTTATATCATGAATGGTATTCATTTTTATTTCTTCTTATTAATAAAAAAAAAAATTATTAGTCTATCATTATTATTATTATATTTATTATTTATTAAATTTATTATTATATTATTATTCAAAATATTAATATTAGTATCATCATTATCATTTTTATAATATTATTAAATTATATTCAATTATTATCATTGATCAATATTTCCATGCTGTGACACTATATATCATCAGTCTAGAGAAGTCATTACATTTCCTTTGTCTTTGTATTCTTGTTCAACAGGGGTAAAGTTGCCTTCATCACAGGTGGTGGCTCTGGAATATGCTTCACTATTGCAGAAATATTCATGAGGTATGTTTTCTTTTTTTTCAAAACAATTCTCGATTGTACTCCCAGCTGTCTTCATATATTTAAGTCTGAAGTATAGTCAAACCTCGTTATACACCGCCACCCTTAGCTGTCCCCGCGATTTCATGCAAAAAAAATTCTGAAATTATGCTAACTGAGCCCAAAAATGTGAAATTATGCGATTTTGTTAATTTTAACAAAGAATGATAATGGAAAATAATCAGAAATTATGCAAAAAAATGATCAAATTTTGCTAAATTATGTAGGGTGCATAAAACCTGGGGGACAGCCTTAGGATGAGCATGAAGTTGACGGAACAGCAGGGCTGGTGATTCTACAGGGTTCTTCTGTTGTTTAGCCGATGACACTGACTGCCCAACGTCAAGAAACATGATTCTGTTGTGCAACCTGTGTTTACAAGTGTCTTTTTGTAGGTGATTTAATATATATCATGTACATGCTCATGTTTTCAGAGCTGAGAGTCAGTTGCGAGCGCAGTAAAACCCCAAAGTAAACTAAAACAGAGCCGAGAGTTTTCTCTCTCTATGTCTTTCTCGTGGGAGAAGGATTATCATGTAGCAAAACAGTACATTTTGTGCGCTGTGTGCAGTGTGTACCTTTGACATTCAATTTGCTGGCAGTGTGTATGGCGAGGAAAATTTACGTTAGTTAATTAAGGACAGTACAACTCAGATAGTAGGTGGATGGCAGTCCGGCAGCGTGAAGTTGTAAATACTATGGTTATACAGGGACTCCCTTTTGAACATTTGCAAAACCTGGCGGTAAGCGAGGCTGGCGGTATAACGGGAAGAGGGGATACAACGAGGTTTGACTGTAGTATGTTTTGTGACTGTTGTAAGTTTGACAACCTTGCTGCACATTTCACTGCTCGTAAAGCTTAGCTATTTATTTAATCATTTTATAAACTCATATCTCAAGCAGTTGTATTGCGAACAATGTGTTAAAGCCACTCCAGTCTTCTGATCAAACCATCCGCAGCACCGAAACAGCACTTCGATCTTAATTAAAGTCATGAATGACATGCTTTATTACTGACTTTGATTCAGGATTTTTGCCACTGAGTCTCTTCACCTTTCTTCCTGTCATATTGTCCCCACTGTCTCTACCGTCCTGCTTGTCTCTCAGTGTTCCCTTTCTCTTGCTACATTCACTGTAACACAGGAAAGTCTTTCCTGATTTGTTTCCCTTTGTTCGTTACACTTAAATTTTCACCCCTTTCCCAAATGACAGTTTAGACTTCAGGAATGTTTCACTGTTCTTAAATTTATTTTATGACCCTGCCTGTATCATTATTTTCATTCTTTTGCACAACAGTGAACTTGATCTTGCAGCTGGTTTGATGTTCAAAGAATCTTTTGTTTGGCGGGTGCTCTGATATTGTTTGCTCCTTCTTTCCTCTATCAAATATCTATCGTTCTTATCTCTCCTCCTTTTTTTTGTTTATTATAACTTTCTTTAACATCTCTAATCGTTGGCACTTATATGACCTAATTGTGTTTCAAGTGCAGTAAAACATTCGTTAAAACTTAAAATTTAAAGTATCATGTGCAAAGCTTACGGAAAACTGTATGTTAAAAAGTATTTTTTTTCTTTTGCCTTTCAAAGAGAAATGGAGGAAAATAAGAGATCTATGCTTTATTGATTGATGTTTTGTTTCAGACATGGTTGTCGTACTGTTATTGGTGGGAGAAAGCTTGACCGTCTGAAGAAGTCGGCAAAGACTTTGACTGATGCGACAGGAGTGAAATGTGTACCTGTACAGGTGGATGTTCGGAAGGTAGGCGACAAGACATTTGTTAGACACCAATGAACATCATGTGCTGGATTTTTACTTGGTATTTCGCAAATTTCTGTATGCATTGCTCGTTTGAGAATTCCTGTATGAATGTCGAAAATATGTCGTAGGTTTACTTTTTTGTTCTATAATCTATTCTGAATGCTGTTGGGTGTGGTTTTGTATGTCTTGTCTTGAACCTTAGATTTTTGCAACTATTAAAACAGCCTGTGCTGTAAATCATGGGGATTTTTTTCTTTTGGTGCTAAGTAAAACAACTGTATTATAAAGTTAAGACATGGAACAAAAAACAGTGTTGTAAAATATGATTATTACAACCCCCCCCCCCCCCCCCCCTTTAGTAATATAAGGTAATATGTAACAAGGAACAGTGTTATATGGTTATAATTATACATAACAAGAAACAGTATTATACAATTATATGTAAGAAGAAACATTATCATAAAGATTATATTGTAGCAATGTACAGTATTATTTATAAGATTATAATTATATGTAACAATGTAGGTCTACAATATCATACGGTTATGTGGAACAAAAAAACCCCCAGCATTATAGGCTATATGCTATGGAACAAAAAAAAAAGCCTGTATTATAAATTTATACGCAACATGTAATAAAGAACCATAACTGTTCACTTCTGTTCCAGCCAGCGGAGGTCATTGCGGCTGTGGATGTTTGTCTACAAGAATTCGGGAGGATTGACATTCTTATCAATGGTAAGTTCTCTCCTCTTATAGTTTCTGAATTGGGGTTTTCCTTGGGCTTTTGAAAATGGCTCTCAGACTCTCCAACATAGTGCCCTGGGTTCGAGTTCCATCAGGTTTGACGTTGTTTCCTTGAGAAAGGCACATTTTTCCTCACTTCACCCAAGTGTGAGTGGATACCTGGCTAAAGAGAACGAAAGATCTTGTCGGTTTGTTAGTGTTTTAGCCAATTCTATCTGTAGCTTGCACTGTATGTTTCCCAGGAAGCTGAGAATGTTTCTGGATGTTCTAGGGTCTCTTTGGGGTAATAGTCTGCTGTTGAGCATGGGTATGAGCCATATAGATGCAGTTACTATCATTTTATTATTATTATTGTTACTATTATTTATTATAATTTTATTTTAGTTTGTGACTCACAAAGTATACCGGTCGCATGGAGTTTGTGACTTGTGTGGTTTGCTCCTCCTTTCCTATCGAACATCTATCGTCCTTATCTCCCCTCCTTATTTTCCTTGTATGTTACTCTCATAACACCCCTAATCTCCCACTTTTATATGACCCTATTTGGGTTTCAAGTGCCTTAAAACTTGTATTAAAACAAAACAAAACACAATACTACTATGGAGGAGTGCTCTTGTTGTTTCCCTTGCGTAGGAGCGGCAGGCAACTTCCTGTGTCCTCTCGAGTCTATGTCGTTCAACGCGTTCCGTACGGTGATGGAGATTGACACGCTGGGAACGTACAACGTCAGCAAAGTGGTCTATGACAAGTATTTCAAGGTACGGCCCACCGCCTAATACGTAAGCCAGGACTGGCTAGTACATTTACGTGTACTGGTTAATGTGTGTGTGTGTATTATGTTCTTTTTATGTGAGTATTTTTTATCTACATGCTGTACAATAATGATAGAATGGTTTTTAAAATTGTCGATCAGGAAAGCTATTTAGTAGATGTGTGTTCTGAAAAGTTTTTTCAATGTGGCTGTGTTGTCCCTCTGTGCTCCGATGGTGTTGTTCTGTGTGTATTGTTCATTATGCTCTGTGTGTGTGTTGTTCTACGGTGTGTTCTGTGTATGTGTTGTTAAATGATATGCTCTGAGTGTGTTGTTTAATGATGTGTTCTGTGTATGTGTTGTTCAATGTGCTCAGAGTGTGTTGTTCAATGGTATGTTCTGTGTGTGCTGTTCAGTGATGTGGTCTGAATGTGTTGTTAATGGTGTGTTCAGTGTGTGTTCTGTGTGTGTTGTTCAATGTTTTCTGTGTGTGTTATCACTGTGTTCTGTGTGCGTTGCTCATGTTCTGTGTGTGTTGTTCTGTGTGTGTTGAACAATGTGCTCTGTGTGTGAGTTATCACTGTGCTCTGTGAGTGTTGTTCAACAGTGTGTTCTGTGTGTGTTGTTTAAGGGTGTGTTCTGAGAGTGTTTATCCTTGCACAGAGCCACGGAGGCGTCATCATCAACATCACAGCCACGCTCCACTACCGAGGCACCATCTTGCAGGCTCACGTGGGCTCGGCTAAGGCTGCCATAGGTGAGTGTCACTGGCGTCACAATGTTGCGTCATGTCTGGGTGGTTGACGGGTGCTCTGTGGGTGGTTGACGGGTGCTCTGTGGGTGGTTTGCGGGTGCTCTGTGGGTGGTTGGCAGCTGCTCTGTGTGTGGTTGATGGGTGCTCTGTGGGTGGTTAGCGGGTGCTCTAGTGGGGTTTACTCCTTCTGTCTTGTCAAACATGTATTTTCCTTATCTGTCGTCCTTCGCAGATGATTGGCGGGTGCTATGGTGTGGTTTGCCCCTTCTTTTTTATCAAAGGTCTATCATCCTGATCTCTCCTCCTTTTGCGTTTGTTGCTCTCTTTTTACACTTCTAATCTTCGGCACTTATTTGATCTATTTGTTTCAAATGCCATAAAACACTTACCAAAAATAAAAGCTCTAATCTTTGGCACTTGTATAACTTATTTGTGCGGGTGGTTGGAGGGCACCACTGGTAGGTCCTACTTCTTTACTTTCCGTCTGTTGTTTCTACCTGTCTGTCATACTTTTCCCCCAGCACTAAATGACCAGCCATTACTGTGTCAATGTGCCTCTCTTTACTCAAACAAACAAATGACCTATTTGTGTTGCAAGTACGGTAAAATTGGTATATAAACTAAAATAAACCTCATTTGTGCTCTTTACTTAAACAAACAAATGACTTATTTGTGTTGCAAGTACAGTAAAACTGGTATTTAAACTTAAGTAAGTCACGTTTGTACATTTGTGCTTTCAGAGTACTTGACGAGACACCAGGCATTGGAGTGGGGCCCACAGGGTGTGCGGGTTCTGTGTGTGGCCCCAGGGGCCATCGGAGACACGGAGGGGGTCCGCAGGCTCAGTAAGTAACCACGGTCGGAATTGTCCAAGACAGCCACACCCGTTGTCCATGAGAAAAGTAGTTGTCTAAGACAGGTGGATGTCTTAGAGAGTGTCATTATAATGCAGAAAGAAAATGCAAGGGGCGGAGTGGAAAGTGGTGGTATATATA